CATAGAGAAGCCTCCGGCAGTCCATGTTTGGTTTCAACCAGCTGCTTTCGGCCTGGCAGCCAAGGTAGAATTCTTGTCAAAAAATCGCGAAATGTGCACGGCGACCATCATTGCACTAATAGTTTTCTCCGAGAAGATATCCTGTTGTATCTCGAATGGTGCACCAACCAAACGAAACAGTGTTCAGGACAGTACATTCACTAAAAAAGTATTGTAAATTAGGCGTTAAACTGTGGTTAAGTTGAGTCTCGATGAGTGGTACTCACTTCAAGATAGCGCTATTCCCCACGTGTGTTTCATTCCCCAGCTACTGAGATAAACGAGGGCTACTTGGTCGTGCTTCTATGTAATCCATATCTAACTGAGCTTGAAGAGTAAATCCAACTGCCTTGCTCAGTAGGTAAATCAACAACATGAAACTCTTCGATATTCCTCACACAGTGGCCATTGTGAAAATAATGGGTGAAGATGGAGAGCAGATCATATATTTCAGTCATTTGTTCGACTGCAAGCGGATGGTTACTGCGAATTGAATAGTTATGAAGAACACATTTTTGCAAGGCAATAATCAATTATGCCTGTTTATCTATTTTAGGATGTCCCAAGGGATAAATTCGTGAAAGCATCGAAAGGCGGTAAGAAATTTGAAGCCAACAAGAAAAAGGTGATGAAAATTTGAGTTCGCGCGGAAGTTGATATTTTTGATGCGCTTGCTGATCACAGCTGGAATTCTAGTGTTCCAGGTCAGACTTTTGGGATTTGGGCAATGCCTGCTTACTATTATCGTAAATAATTTGCTACATACTCTCTGTGTGTGATGCAACCAGCATTCAGTCAATCAGATTTGCCTCACCTTACGTGAAACTCAATTTTTCATTTTCAAGCTATGGGTTATTATGATAACATAGGCATCAATCGCCACTCTTAAGTACTTCCGATAATATTCAAATATGCGCACTTGTGAATGGTCAAACGTCTGCTGTGTCAGGTAAAACGTGTGGTCGGTCAATTTTGGTTTGTTCAGATTCAGGAGATTTAGCTCAGTGTGTTGCCTAAAACAAATGAACTCTACTCATCGAATAATTGAAGTATAACTTTACTTGCGGTTGTAGGGCAGTCCTTCAATTCCGTATCGGCACCCACCGATAATACTCGCAGCCTTTAGAAGGCCTGTTTCGCCTTCAGTTCTGTTGGGTTGGTAACGCTTTTTCTATCGAAATTCCACACACTCCGTTCAATCCCCCATATGACGAATGGGACGCGTCGGCATACAGAGACAAGCCAGGAAACGAGGCAAATAATAATTTACTTGCAAACCTTAGATTTCTCATCCGGTCAGGAATACACTGTTTGGATTTGCAATTGCGGCGCAATCCGTAATCACCGGCTTTTGTGCGTGTTTCCCGAGTAACCGATGCTTCGTAGGGAGGCCTTGGATGGATGATTCAGAAGATATTCCCAGCTCCCGCGAACCCTTTTGAGTTAAAATTTTAGAGAACACACTTCTTCAAGGGCTTCGCGTTCATTGGTGGTCTACTGTAATTCAGCTTTCCTCTGGGAATTTAGTGCTTTTTGTTCTGTTTGGTCGTGTTTGGTCGCATTCTAGAGCAGTGGTCTGGTAGACGTTCATATAGACCTTACTCCATGTAAGTAAGTAAGTAAGTAGTAATAAGTAATAATAAGTAAGTAATATCTTCCAAAGGACCAATCAAAACACATTCAAACTTTGTCCTTCAACTGATTCTGTTAGACAGTATTTCTAAACAAATTCAATACTCGTTCAGCTGGATCACCTATATGGTGGCTAGCTGCTATTTTCCCCAATGGAGTACGCGGGCTGATTCAGTTCAATCCAGTACGTTTCTATCCAATTAAATTCCAATTTAATCCATTCGATTTAAGTCCAATTTAATTCAATTCAGTTCAATTTAGTTCAGTTCAATTCAGTTCAGTCCAGTTCAGTTCAAGTCAGTTCAGTTCAGTTCAATTCACTTCATTTCATTACATTATGTTCAGTTCTGATCAGGTCACTTCAGAAGAAATCGTTTCATTTCATTTAATCTCGGTTCAGTTCGGTTCATTCCTTGCCAGTCCAGTTGAGTTCAATTTAGTTCATTTCTTTTGAGTTCAGTTCATTTCATTTCGGTTCTCTTCACCTCAATTCAGTTCATTTCCGTTCATTTCAGTTCAATTTGTTTGGGTTCTTTTCAGTTCAGTGCAGTTGCATTTCGTTCATTTCAGTGCATTTCAATTCAGTTGAGTTGAGTTCAGTTGAGTTCAGTTGAGTTTAGTTCAGTTCATTTCAGTTCAGCTTTGTTCGTTTCAGATCATTTCCGTTCAGTTCAGTTCCTTACGCTCATTTCAGCACAGTTCAACTCTGTTAAGCTTATGTCAATTTTGGTGAGTTCATATCAGTTAATTTCAGTTTTTTTGTGATTCAGTTCAATTCTGTTCGTTTCAGTCCAATCCCATTCCATTTATGTCCAATGCAATTCAATTCATTTCACTTTATTTCAGTTCAGTTCAGTTCAGCTCACTTCAGATCAGTTTATTTCACTTGAGTTGATTTGATTTGAACTGATTTCAGTTCAGTTCAGTTCATTACAGTACATTTCAGTTCAGTTCAGTTTCTCAGCCCCTCGGGCTGAAACCTTATTGCAAATACTGGCATGAAAAAACCTCTGGGAAATGAATTACACCCTCCGTTAACCGACAACCAGCACAGGGTGACAGGTTGAGTTTGGACGTGACAAGAGACTGCGGTGACGGAGTTACTCTTTTTATAAATGGACCGTGAGTTCAACGCTGCTAGGAAATACAGTGAAACTTGATCTGGCCAGCACACCCGACAGCAGTTGTTATGTTTGTCATTCAAAAATGTGCAATTTAGGGGAGTATTTACCGAAAGAATCGATGTACAACCGACAGAAAGCTGGAACAAAACAGTAGAAAGACAAGCTCATGATAATTCCCGTGACTAATGAACACGGATCAGTTCACATGAATAGATCCATTTCGCTTTCAGTGTGTAGCGTGGTCTCAATGTTTTGATAACCGCTGCTGAATTTACTTCTGATTATTCTGTATAGGGTGGTATATATCCCTCTTTTTGATCACCGAGACCAGCCCTATTTTTGCAAAACTCGTTCGATTCTACCTGCAAGTATTTCGCTTGGAGGGACATGGATGCTCGCTGCTTGCGATTTTTGTACTCGCCGAAATCTGACACTCTGGACTGACGGTACTTTGCTGTTTTATACTGGATTTCGTAGAGGAGTAATCCCGCTTGGAATTTCAGTATTTAGAACATGCAGCGAAAAACATTGAATTGGTCAAGGGAAAACACGCAAAAACACAGTTCAACGTAAGTTCTGTCCGAAAAAGCATGTCATGCCATTGTCAATCCAGCAATCGCCCAATATCTTCAGTGTCGGTGTCGCAACATTGTTGGTTCTCTCCGCTGATAAAACATTTGTTATGAAGTGTAACATTCGCCTTTTCATAACTACCGAAGGTTTAGTAACGCAACTTGCATTTGGTAGGTGATATATACTCCCCTCATCCTGAGCAAACGCTCGTGCAAATGGCACGAGTAATAATCGCTGAATCACGTAATCTTTTCGTGCATTTTCAGTCATCGTACACGGAGTAACCGTACTTGAGTGTTCACCGGATATTCCTTGAATCTCCAAACACGCCAGACTTAAGAATAAAACTCAGCGAAAAATTGCTGACCACTATTGTCAAACAACGGTAATTGGGAACATGGGTGAATCTGGGGCCGTCCTTCTTTGGCATGTGCGTTTTTGGAACCCACTAAACCATTCTGTACAGAGGCGGTCCAAAGAAGAGCACGCGCATCATTCTCGTTCGTCTGATTCCATACGATTTGTTCAAAGGCGTAGGAGCGTTATCCGGAAAGAACCTGGACACTTCACTGTACGGGTGACTAACTTGTAAAACTTCAGTGATTATCAGCAAAACAAATCCGTACCATTTGTTTTTCAAGTGGAACACGAGGTCGGTATCAACTCTGGAACTGCGACTTCCTGATGAGCTACAAGACGAGCCGTAGTCTTCGTAGAGTTCACGCACTTTCACTCATCCGCTACGTAACTCAAGCATTTCGCGTGTTCTCCGCTAGCATCGAGGGAGTTTATATCAAAGCGCTTTGAAATGTTCAGAATTCAGATATGCTGATGGTCACCAAAATCTATCATGAATGTCTTTTTTATTTGCGGACCCATCATCCGCTTTACCTTCAGCTTGCCTCACTGGCACTCATCCGCACTGTTTAGCTCAATGAGAAGTTTCTCTGGAGCTTTGAATTCTGTTGGCGGATGTTAGGACCAACCTTGTGTGAACGCACTTTCCTGCCCGTTTGAAAACATTTGTTGAGTGTTACAAACCCGACATGAGTCATGGATTGTACTTCTCCATCAAGCTGGCGGGACAGAAATCTTTCAATAATAACCGATAGCGTTTAGGCAAAACCATCATGATACTCGGGCGGTGTGAAATCATTAGGACGCCTCCACAAACCTGACGCAGTATTGCATGATACATGAACAGGACGAAGAAAAATAGGCCAGGCGCCCGACCCAGGTAGAAAGGGTTTTTGTGCCACCTGTCGACTCAAACACGCTGCTAAATGTAAGAGCTCAATGTTTTTAAAACTTCGTCGGACACTTAGTTTAGGTTGTTTGGAAGTTGTCAGTTTGTCTGACGATCAGACCGGTAAGCGGTCTTTTGGAATTGTATGTTTTGGCATTTGTTCTTCTACCACATTTGCAGCCTGATGTTGTTACATCAGTTTCATCAGAACAAAAGAGTGTTTGATTACCAGGATAGGAAGAATACTTGCTTAGAAACTGACCTATAAATCACCGAGCGACACAACAGGCCGGTTGGCCACAGGGTTGACACACAACATAATCTGTACGACTATTCTCGAAACGACCTGCTACCCATAAGATTGTTGAAAAATTTCAGCGACTCACCAAAGGTCTCATCTTTCTGGCACATCAGGTATGCGTAAAATGTGATGCTCAATTGAGATGAGGCTGATGAGAAGCGGCGGACGAGCAAGTCAAGGACGAATCAAAGCTACCCAGTAGATGCGTTGTGACATATGAATCTCATGTTATACAGACGTCTATCTAGGGTCTAACGTACAAACTCATTCCGTGCTGTACAGTTCTTCCGCGTTAGACTAGAGCTGTCAGCCCACAGACTGCGATGAAATGAAACGTGGACTGCAGTTTACAAACAATCCTATATAGCACTGAACAAGATGACGTTTGGAGCCGGGTGGAGGCTGACTAACACATTACACCCGCACGGAATACCACATCATTCGGTAAATGGTGAGGAATGAATAAATTGGCAATAGACGAGACAAGAATCACGGATTTCCCGTCCCGATGACTTTTCGTGTTGCGACCTTATGTGAGCAGCCCTCATGCTAGTGTAACGGTGATACTACCGGTCGGGAGGCAAGCGAGTAGTATGTGTTGTTCTAAGAATTTCGCTTTGCGTAGACTGGAAAATGGAATTCTGTTGCGGAATTCGTGGGGCCACTTTGTAACATTTGCTTGGATTTGACCGACTAATGAGTCGGGGCAACGAATCTCTAGGAAGGCTCATTCGGGAGAAGATCTGTGTCCAGTTTTTGTAACTAAGATGCAGATTAGAGTTTTGTTATCCCTGTTCAATGGTCTGTAACCGGTCAGTTGGCATTTCCGAATAAATAACTCCGAATCGAATTCCTTCTTTCTTTCATTCGGTGCCGTGACCAGGATCAGGATGAGGATCCCATGGCCGGAACTTTTTGAGAATGGGTATGTTCTGACCTTCCTGGAGGACTTTTGGGAAATTGCGGAGGCTGCCGGGCTGGAGACCGACTGATTAGGTTGGCAGCGCTGAAGGCCTTCCTCAGGGATTCGGCCAGAAGAGGCCCCCAGATGATGGACTGGGCCGCCGCGAAGGAAGCCCTGGCAGCGGATTTCGACACGCCGGCCGACCGCCGGGAGTCTATGAGGCGGCTCAAGATGGCCAGGATGGCAACGGGATCGAACGTGACCGTGTACTTCGCCGGCTTGCAGCAGTAGTTGGATCGCACTTTACCGACGCTGGACGGAGTTTCGCGACACCAGTTGCTGTCGGATCAGTGTGTGGAAAGTGTGCAGCCCGCGCTCGGTGCTCAGTTGCGGTTGGCACGAGCGACTGGCCAGTTGAGTGTGGAGGAGCTGGTTCGTCTGGCTCAGAAGCTGCCTCAGGAACCACTGGCCATGTTGCAGTCGCAGGAGAACAGCGATGGTTCATCAGTGGAGGAACTGCAGACCAGGGTGGATCAACTCAACGAAAAGCTGGCGGCCGTGAAGAGGGAGTCGCTGAGGCACGCTCCAACCAGCCGGTGCTACATGTGTCGCAAGCCTGGCCACT